TCCTTCCTTCCTTCCTTCCTTCCTTCCTTCCTTCCTTCCTTCCTTCCCTCCTCCCTCCCTGTGGTTAGAATGCAGTATTGTAAGCTAACTCTGCCAACTGCCAGCAGTTCATTTCCCACCAGCTCATGGTTGACTCAGCCTTCCATCCCTCCAAAATCAGTAAAATGAGGACCCAGATTGTTGGGGGCAATATGCTGACTCTGTAAATAGCTTAGAGGGGGCTGGAAAGCACTGTGAAGCGGTATATAAGTCTAAGTGCTGTTGGTATTCTTGGACTTTCAATGGAAAATTTATATTCTGTATTTAAGTCCAGGACAGAATTTTAACCCAACTATCGTATTTACCGGACTATAAGCCGCTACTTTTTCCCCACTATGAACCCTGCGGCTTGTACAACAACGTGGCTTATCTATAGATTTTTCTTCGCTAACTGCCATCAGGGGGCGCAAAAACGTGACAGATGCAAGAGGTCAATGCAAAGAAGAAGATGCTACAGGTAGTTTTTGGCGCACTCGACGCATATATATCTGCGGCTTATAGTCTGGTGCGGCTAATATATGTAAAAATATTTTTTTTCTTTTAAAATTTAGTGGGTGCGGCGTATATTCCAATGCGCTCTATAGTCTGGTAAATACAGTAGACCATACTTTATGATTTGGCTGGGTTTCTTTCCCTCTGCACAGCGTCTTTGTTATAGCTGGGGTACAGGTATTCCTCAGCTTTTAACAACCAAAGTTACGATGGTACTGATACAAGTGACTAGTGAATTAGCGCTCTCGCTAATGGCTATGGCAGTGTCCCTACACTTGATCAGAATTTGGCCGCTTGGCAACTAGCACGTATTGGTGGCAGTTGTACTGTCTTGAGGTCATGTGGTCGCCATTTGCAATCTTCCCAGCCAGCTTCTGTCAAGCAAAAAAAATTGGGAAGAAAAAAGATTTGCTTAACGGAAGTGGACTTGCTTAACAAATCACTTATGCGTAACAACTGCAGAAATAAAATTGGGAGGGACTCAACGACCGTAACAGAAGTTCTGGTTCCAGTTGTAGTCCTAAGGTAAGGACTTTAGGGAAAAAAAAGTGCAAAGAAGAGCAACTAAGATGATTAAAGGCCTAGAGACTAAAACCTATAAAGAATGGTTGCAGGATTTGAGTTTGGCTAGTTTAGAGAAAAGAAGGCCTGGGGCTGACACGATAGCAGTGTTCCAATATCTCAGAGGCTGCCCCAAAGAAGAGGGGGTCAAATTATTCTCCAAAGCACCTGAAGGCAGGACAAGAAAATAATGGATGGAAATTAATCAAGGAGAGAATTCCAACCTGGAATTAAGGAGAAACTTCCTAACATTGAGACAATTAACCAGTGGAACAGCTTGCCACCAGAAGTTGCAGGTGCTCCCGCACTGGAGGTTTTTAAGAAGAGGCTGGACAGTCATTTGAGATGGTATAGGTTCTCCTGCTTGAGCAGGGAACTGGACTAGAAGACCTCCAAGGTCCCTTCCAACTTTATTCTGGTTGATTAAATTGTTTATTCTTGTACAACAACATTGAGGGTCACGTTGATGTTCTTCATTCTTGTTTTCTGTCCACAGTATGCCATGTTCTTAACCATCATCTTCCTTGTGGTGCTAGTGGCTGCCATTCTGGGTTTTGTCTTCAGACATGAGGTGTGTGCTGTGTCTTCGACAATTTGCTGTTTTAATGGGGTAAAAATGGAACTTCCTGTTATTTTTCCTCAGGAAGTTTGCTGTAAGATCCTCTTTTGTTTTCCTGGAAAACTGTAGCTTGCCAAACAGCAAAGATTCCTGAAAAATCCTTCCAGTAAAGGTTATTTCATTCAGATTTGATCTCAGTTTTTAAAAACACTGTTTCCTAAGAAATTCCCTTCATTTATCTTAAGAGTCCAGCTGGATTGAAGTGGTGTGTAATTTCATAGTAAATGCATTTGGGGATAGGAGTGTGTGTAAAATTGCCTCTAAGTTGTCCAAAACTTCTCTTATGTTCTATAAAATTTCAAAATGTCTTTCCAAACGAGCGTGTCTGACTTGTGACTGACATTTTGCACAGCCAATTTAGGATGGTGTTGTGTGTAGAAAGCGTTTGAGTCCATACCAAAACGCGAATTATAATGTAAAATCCCTCCAGTTCTAAATTCTTTGTATTTTTAGCATCGGCTATGCCTTAAATGTACCAAAATGCCTTTGAAAACCTCTGCTTTGGCATTTTTGCTGTATAAAAATATGTGCAAATTGTCATTTTTTTAAAAAAAAATTAACACAAGAAGGTTGAAACTGACAGAAAATTACCACCACTGATTTGAATCATATCTTGAAATTGACATTTTTCTATTTCTGCAAAGTCTTCTCTAAGAATTTACCATTCTGATATGTTATCGGGCCTTTTCATTCCTCTGCATCTCCCCTTACTTTTGACTCATTCAAACGGCTGAAGTTGTCTTTTGATCAGGTGACGGCCTCACCTACCTGTACATGATGGAGCTTTCTCCCTTTCCTTAAAGATAAAAGATAGTTTTAATAAAAACTATGAAAATGCTGTGAAGCGTTACAATGGGACCAGTGACGACCTCAGCAAAGCAATCAATGATGTCCAGACAACGGTGAGTGGAAACCTTGTCTTTTTCTTCGTGTTTGTTATAACTTACATCCTTTTGGTTTGCTATAATGTATAAACATATAGCTTGTTCTCTCCCCAAAATACTTTGAGGTGAGTTCCTTAAATAAATCTTGAAAAGTAGGGGAAGCAACATTGGTGAAATTGGACCTTTATTTATGGGAACTAGGGAATGAGATCTTACAAGATGAATTTAATTTTTTTTTTTAAAAAAAAGGTTTACCAAAATATTATTCAGTACATTGTAGGATTTTTTTTCCATTTGGAAAGATAACAGGAATTTAGGATAGGTCCTTTGTACTTCCAAACTCCTGCTACAGGATGTGCCATCTTAAGTGTTGGGGAGGTTAATAATAAAATGAATAATCTGGGATCTGGAATTATAAGCAGGCTGTGAAAGATTGAATAGAATAGAATAACAGAGTTGGAAGGGACCTTGTAGATCTTGTAGTCCAACCCTCTGCTGAAGCAGGAGACCCTACACCGGTGATGGTGAACCTTTTTGTTGTGATGTGCCGAAAGCGTGCGTTCTGGCACCCACAATGCAATGCGTCCTGCCCCCCCCCGCAATGCATGCTCAACATCCGCACCTAGCCCTTTTACCTGCACTGCGCATGCGTGCGCCTCTCAGCTGATTTTTGGCCCGTTTGAGGCTGTTTTCTCCTTCCCGGATAGCCTCTGCAGCCCCAGGAAGTTGAAAACGGGCCTTCCGGAAATAGAATAGAATAGAATAGAATGGAATGGAATGGAATGGAATGGAATAGAATAATGGAATGAAGAATGAATAGAATAGAATAGAATAGAATAATGGAATGAAGAATGAATAGAATATAATAGAATAGAATAGAATAAGAAAGAATAGAATAGAATAGATAGGATAGAATAGAATAAAACAGAACAGAAAAAGAATATAATAGAAATTAGAATAGAATAATCTTTATTGGCCAAGTGTGATTGGACACACAAGGAATTTGTCTTGGTGCAAATGCTCTCAGTGTATATAAAAGAAAAGATATATTTGTCAAGGATCTTCAGGTACAACACTTAATAATAGTCATAGGGTACAATAAGCAATCATATCATACTAGGAAACAGTCAATATAAATCATAAGGATACAAGTGACAAAGTTACAATCATACAGTCCCAAGTGGGAGGGGATGGATGATAAGGAATGATGAGAAGATTAATAGTAATGCAGACTTTGTAAATAGTTGGACAGTGCTGAGGGAATTATTTGTTTAGCAGAGTGATGGCGTTCGGGAAAAAACTGTCCTTATGTCTAGTTGTTCTGGTGTGCAGTGCTCTTTAGCATTGTTTTGAGGATAGGAGTGGAAACAGTTTATGTCGAGCATGTGAGCAGTCTGTACGTATTTTCACAGCCCTCTTTCCAAGTTAGAGCACTTCTTGGAAGTCCTGCAACAGGCTATTTGGACATTGGGGCATCCTGTTTTTGGGTGATGGTAGTTTGTATGTCTGGCCACGGTCATCTCGTGCTCCCTTGGTTTTTGCAGTTACACTGCTGCGGGGTAGAGAATTACACGGACTGGAAAACGAGCGACTACTTCAAAGAGAAAGGCATTCCCATCAGTTGCTGCAAACCTTTGGTGAACTGTACAGCTGATGACTTGAAGAACATCACCAGAGCAGGAGGCAAAGTTTACGAACGAGTAAGTGAAGGCCTGCTGATCTTTCTGGGTTTCTCTAGAATCTGGAAATCTGGAAAAATGAGCTGATTCTTCCAAATTTTGGTTTTCTGGCAAGCTATAAGGACCAGGGGCGTGGCACAAAGGCAACACAGTCAAATAAGCAATAAAGAGTCCCTTTATTATCTCCAACTTTGCTCCTAATGTCCAGGTTACCTTCGGCTGGAGAAAAACTCTTCCAGGAACAGCCTTTAACTGTAGAAAATTCAATCCAAAACAAGGTACACACAAACTGTAACTTAAAATCCAAACAAGCAAAGCTGAAGTAATTGACTTGACAGGGCAGCAGAAGGAATTTCAGATTTGAAAGCACAGCAAAACTCACACAGTCGGGAAGACGCCAGGAACACAGATAAGCCATGATGATACCAGATAAATTCAACAATTTGCTGTGCTCAGCTTCCTCTTTTATACACTGTGTTCCCAGCTGCAGCTAATGAAGGGAATCAGGGCCCTTTCCTCCCTTCTGGGAGGCCCATTTTTCGCCCTCCCCAAGCCTTCCTTCCCCCAAAACAGGCCGCGTGGGGACTCCAGGGAGGGGCGGGTGGGCGGGGCCAGCCAAGAGTGGGATTTGGGGGTTCTCCCGAACTGCACAGAATCTTAGCCAGGGGCTCTCCTGAACCCCTGCGAACCCCCAGCAGCCCTCCCCTGAGTGTGTGGCATAGAACGCAAACGCTGGATTGTGAGGAGATCCTGGCCTTTATCCTCCCGACTTCCTGTTGAGCTGAGAAGGGAGCAGGTCTTGGTTGCTAAATCCTTCCAAAGTCCACTGCTCTAAAGCGACAGCACAGAGGGCGCTGCGCAAATATTGACATAACCTGGAGGATCTTTTTGCAAGCCTCCCATCCCGATTCAAAGAACTCGGCATACGATCTTCGATTGAGGTTAAAGTCAAGTCAAGGTTGAAAGGGACTGAGTGTGTTTTCGGTTCCTTGTGGAAAGGCCTCTGCTGGTAGCTCTTATTTCACTCTCTGTCTCTCTCTGTCTCTGTCTCTCTCTCTCTCTCTCTCTCTCTCTCAATAATTTTTTTATTTTTTGTTTCAACAAGCATATCATTGTGTGAACGGTGTGGTTCTGGAGTGTCTTACATATTAAAACAATATTCTTCATATTTAACACAATTGACAATCTTATAAAATTTGATATTAATACACATATTTTGTTAAATTATCCATCTTGATTATTTGATATTACAGTATATTATTTTGTGTCAATCTCCATATTCTTAACATCACTCCTTTTACTACAGACAATATATGAATAATCATATTTGCTGTGTTTGACAAATTATATGTTTCTAATAACAGTTCACAAATTTATATTGAATTATAATTTTCCATTGTTTACCCCTTTTTTAATTTTTAATTATGCATTATTATATATATTTGTTAAAAATCCTCTTTCTAGTCACATTTTGATACAAGTAAAATAGTATTCACCATACTTATGTTTAACAAGTGCAATTCTAATAATAATAATACAGTTGCTTTTATTAAATTGTAATCTCATTAGCTTATGCAATATTTCACTATGTTATTTTTATGTCAGTTAAATTCCACATATCAATCTGGCTCTTGTTTCTCTTTGCAGGGTTGTTTTAGCCTGGTGATACAAACCATGGACTCTGAGATGGGCATTGTGGCTGGGATCTCCTTTGGCACTGCTTGTTTCCAGGTGAGCCTCCCTGAAGAACCGTGCAGGTGGACCTTCACCTGTCCTAACACCTGTGATTTTTTTTTCTGTTTGATCTTTTCTTTTTTTAATTACATTTTTTAATTTTATTTTACAAGCATTCCCTCTTTCATTTAAACAGTGTGTCATCTATACAATAATGTTTCTAATTAATACATGTCTGTTTAACTTTATAATATTTGATAAGTGTGTTATTGATGTCATTGACATAATAAACAGGAATCACCTGAGTAGATAAATGAAAGTACAGAAGTCCTCGAGCCTATCATTTCTGTTGCTAAGCAAGACATTAAGTGAATTTTGCCCCATTTTACCTTCTTGCCACAGTTGTTAAGTGTCATGCTCTTGTTAGAGTTGGACTCTGAGGGAGAGGAGGAACAGCCGACAGGGAGTGGAGGTGTGGCTCTGGAGGTTGTGGAGGAGGCTGGGGAAGGGCAGAGGCCAGCTGGGCTGTCAGAGGAAGAACCAAGCCCATCCCCTCTGCATTCTAGGGCATGTAGGGAGGAACAGAGAAAGAAACAACTTGGCTTGTGAGAGAGGAAGCGGCCATGATCCCCCTCATTGGTTGCAGCTGGGGAGAACAGTATATAAGAGAGACGGTTAGAACACAGCATTGCCAGAAGCAAAGCATGTTTTATTCTGGGCTGAAGTTACCTTGACTGGCATCCTTCTAACAGACTGTGCCTTGTTATCTCCTCGAAGTTGGTAATTACTTATCCTAGTCTGTTGTGGAAATTCCTTTATTGTAGTTTGTTTTGGTTTTTTATTTCACCTGTATCCGCTCATTGAGTTCAGACTGTATTGCTTTCTTTTGAAGACTATTTTTGAATAAGTTTTATCTTCAGCTAAGAATTATTTGAACAGTGGGGGCAACTTAGAGGCATTAAAGGACATTTATTTACATTTTGGATTTCATTACGTTTGTGTTACACTCTGGATCATCACATTAAGTGAATCACCACAGTTTTTAACTTAGTAACATGGTTGTTAAGTGAATCTGGCTTCTCCAATGACTTTGCTTGTCATAACGTCGCAAAAGGGGATCTCGTGACCCTGGGATATGGCAATTGTCATAAAGATGAATCGGCTGCCAAAGCATCCGAATTTTGATCCCGTGGGGAGGCTGCAACGGTCATCAGTATGAAAAATACCCATAAGCCACTTGTTTCAGTGCCGTCGTAACTTTGAATGGTCGCTAAACAAAGCCGAGGATTGTCTGTCTTGATGTTTAGCTTGATGTCATCCGGTTGATGCTGCCTTTCCTTTTCTCTGTTAGTTGATTGGAATTTTCTTGGCCTGCTGCCTCTCCCGGTCCATCACGAGTAACCAGTACGAGATGGTGTAACACTGCAAGACGGGGGAGCTTCGCCCAACACTCCAAGGTATGCATACTTTTGCAATAAGAACCTTTGCATCTTCCATGGCCCCAGGCTGGAAGGAGGGTTCCCTTTTCAAAATCAAAGAAATGGCCCAAATCCAGTTAAATGAATGGAAACATCTGGCAAAGCACAGCACTTGTCAGTTTCCAAAACCTTGCTGGTTACAGTTTGATTTGGAAGGTAGTTTGTCCTTTGAAGTGAGAAACCCTGTGCAGTATCAAGCCAGTTGAAAGGGCAGGCTGCTAATCTATAAAACGAGAGCAAACCTCCCTCTTCTTATTAGCATTGATGTCTGCAAGAAAACAACCAAGCTCAGAGAGCACAAAGAACCCTACAGTCGTCGTCCTCCCCCTCCTCCTCCTCCTCCTCCTCCTCCTCTTATTCTCCTCCTCCTCCTCTTCCTCTTGTTCTCGTCCTCTTTTCTCCTTCTTTCCTCCTCCTCCTCCTCCTTTTCCTTGTTCTCTCCTCCTTTCTCCTTTTCTCCTTCCCCTCCCCTTGTTCTTGTCCTCCTTTCTTCTCCTTTTTTCCTTCTCCTCTTATTTTCGTCCTTCTCCTCCTCTTATTCTTGTTCTCGTCCTCCTTTCTCCTTCTTTCCTCCTCCTCCTCCTTTTCCTTCTCTTGTTCTCTCCTCCCTTCTCCTTTTCTCCTTCCCCCTCCTCTTGTTCTTGTCTTCCTTTCTTTTCCTTTCTCCTTTTTTCCTCCTCCTCCTTTCTCCTTCTCCTCCTCCCTCCCTCCCTCCCTCCCCCTACAACCCTTACTTCCTCCTAGCAAGTCTCCAAGAAAACAACCAAGCTCGGAGCACAGCAAGGTCCCCACATCAAGCCACATGGTCAGTTTATCTTGGTGGGTGAACATAGGCTTGGGCTGGTCTCTGGACCATGGAGGATTGAATTACAGTGTCAATTCAGTCCATGCTGTGTGGAATGATTCTATTGGACCATTGTGGAATTGGGAGATGGGACCTCAGATGTCATCAACCTTTGCAGCATACAGTGAAACCAATAGAACCATTTATGCGAAGTGGCTTCCTGGGGATCATCTTCAGAGATGGAGAACCTGCAAATTCCATTGGTAGACCATTCTACTGTTGCACAGGTCTTAAAAAGATTTTCCTTATACCTAAAAGAAATCTAAGGAGCTGCAACCTGTCCTCATTATTTCTTGGGTACGGCTTTAAGACCCTGGGCCATCAGGTGGCTTCCTGTGCATCTGTTCAGAGTTTCCATAACTTCTAGAAATGTGGTATCTAATATCATACGGTGTCTCCTCTGAGATCAGTTGCGCGCTTGCAATTTTCCGTTGGCTGGGAAGCTGATGACTAATCATTGATTTTTACGCAAAATCAATGGTTAGATGCACTTTTGAGTTCTGCTTTTTTTTCTTCAAAAATGGTTTATTGCAGATTTGGGAAATAACAATAAGGATGGTCATTAGCCACACGTGCATTTTGCACTAAACCTGACACCCAACAATAAGGTGTACACCATTTTTAAAAAACTGATTATTGTGTTCATAGAAGGTCCCACCCCCGTTATGCCTTAATGTGTAATTTCTTGCCATTTAAAAACAACCGTCTCTTAATCTCTTATTTTCTGTTCTTCATTTGCAGGGTTTATCTAAACAAAAAAAAAATGAAGATTTTTTTTTTTTAGGAGCCACTTCCCTGACAGACTTGAGCTTTTGAAAACCAGTTTGATCTGACCGCTGTCTTTGGGAATTATTTGAATTTATTTGAATTATGTTTGAAAGTACCAAGGACAAGGCAAGGAGCTTTTCTGTTGAGATTTAAAACTCCTGAAGACCAGTAGTTTTAAAATAGATATTTTTTTTTAAAAAAAGGGAGGGTTTTCATAGTACTATTAGTTGCTGTGTCATTAATATTCTACGTATTTAAGTGGATGTATTATTTAAATTTATATTAGCCTATTCTTGCTATTGTAGTATAATTTAACCAACAGCTGCCTCTTTTAGTTAAATGTCCGTTTTTTTTTTCTCTTGAATGATGCTTTTCATTCTGGACTTGTCAAATCCTACCCAGAACCAAAGTACCTTCAAAAAAATACCATGAGTGATTTTCATCCAGATCTCCACAACTTCTTAGTTTGGGGCTCAAATTCTGTACTTTGTTTCAGTTGGATCCATTTCTGGAGGCTCCAGCTTGGGATTTTTGCAAACTTGGCAATCTGGAGTTGCCTTCTGACCTTTAGAATTGGCCCCAAGGATTCTCAAATATACCTTATGTGGCTTAATCCCAAATTCCGATGAGAAGTCAACAAATGTTCAGCGAGGACACTTCTCTCCATTTGAATCATCTCCAGAGTGGACCCTACTTTTTGGTAAAGAGATAAATGCTCTTCCTTCCTGGACCCTTGCCTTTAATGGATAGGGACAAGATAAAATAATAATAACCTGTAAGCCCCCAGTGAGATTGTAGCATGTTGGTGGAAGAGATGCTTTAGGTTTTTAGACGGACTCTGGTCCAATTCACAGGATCTCCAAATGGGGTTTGATGGCAGTACACCAGCGAAGCGCCAAGCCGAAGATGGTGGATCTGATGGTTGTTTTTTGAAAACTTTCGGTAATGTTAATCTAGACCCGTGATGGCGAACCTATGGCACGTGTGACGGAAGTAGCAACGCAGAGCCATCTCTGCGGGTGCGCGAACTGTCGCTCCAGCTCAGTTTCACTGTGCATGCGTGCATACCTCCCGCCAGCCAGCTGATTTTCGGGTATCTGCCGTGCATGCGTAGGGGGGAGCGAGGCAGATGCATGAGACATGCACAAGGGGCGGAGGGAGTGCAGGGGTCCCACGCATGTGCAGGGGAGGCTAGCGGGCGCAGGGAGTCACGCACACATTGCATTATGGGTACAGGCACGCGACGTCACAAAGGTTAGCCATCACTGATCTAGACGAACTGATAATGATGAGTTTGTATAAGTTAGTTTCCTATGCAATGGAACGGAATTGCAGCCCCGTCACCAAATAAGACAATTTTTTTAAAAAGAAATGCTGATTTGCAACAGCTGTAAATTGGCCTCCTTCCCTTTGAGGTTTCAATGGGAGAATCGTATAGGACATTAAGGCCCTCACTGGATACGCTTCCCCATATCATGCCAAGCCAAATTTACTATAGGAATGGTAAACGGCTGGTCCACACTACGTGCTAAGTTATAGACGGTGGTTATACAAGGAGTGGAATTTGCACGCTCTGCAAAGCTCAAGCCCAGCCGTCTTGTTGTTTAATGCTACCTGTGAAGCCCAACTTGTGCAATGAGCACTCCAAAAACCTCTTTTTATCCGACAGTTAACTGTGTTTGTATGTGATATTTGCCCAGGGGTTTGGACCATGGTTTATCGAGCGATAATGGTCTTGATTTGTCCATAACACTAAAGCATTACAATCGGGTACCGGCATCATGCGAAACCTTCAACAAAACAAATATATTATGACTTGGGTGTGATGTGTATGGGTAGTCCTTGACTTATAACCACACACACACACACGTTTTAGTAGCCATTTGAAGTTATGGCGCCGAAAAAGTGGCTTATGGCCGTTTTTCACACTCAACGACCGTTCTAGCATCCCCAAGGTCACATGATCAAAAATTCAACTGACTCATATTTATGACAATGGCAGTATCCCCTTTTGCAAACCTTCTGACCAGCAAGGTCAACAGGGAAGCCTGATTCACTTAACAACCCTGCTCCTAACTTAACAACTGCAGGGATCTTGCTTAACAACTGTGGCGTCATCAGAAACGTCATCAAATGGGGGCAAAACTCGCTTCAAGAACAGGAAGCCTCGCTTAGCAACAGAAAGCTTGGCTCCATTGTGGTCATAAGTTGAGGACTATACCCATGCTATTTTCTGAAAGACACTCATGATGATGGTGCAGTGTTATCTTGCTACTCGTCACTTAGTTCTGGAAGGTACAATTAGTACTAAAAACGAGTAGCAAACAAACCATGTGACTTAACGGGTGATGCTTTGGTTTTGCCGGGAAGGACATCCTGTCTGCTTTCGGCTGCTGTCCCCCTTTTCCTACGTCAGGAACCTTTCCAGCCTGGCTGACTTCCTGTCCTCCCTTTGCACCTGTCCTACTCTTCTTACCGCAGAGGATCAAGAACTAAGCCACGAGCACCGAGACACATTTTCGTGTCAAAATGCATCAAGTAGCAAATTTTGGAGCACCGTTGTGCCTAAATTGCACCTACTGCTGTGTGTAAATAAGTAGATCAATAGACAACACCTGGCTTAAATCAAAGTTGAGTTGTGGTCTGGAGAGGAAAAAAAAAATCTCCTCTTGGCCTCCTTTCCAATTTCCTCTGCCCGCCTTTCCCCTTCCACCCCAAAACTGAACGGTACTTTGGTGCTAATTCCTTGCATTCTGAAAACCCTTTCTTTTGGAAGGAGATTTGCTTGGGTCCATGTTCCTTGTCTCAGGGGACAATTCCTGCTCTGAAAACAAATTCAGATTTCAGTAACACTTTTGAAGCTAAGTTGTTGTGATCTTTGTGTCTTTGTGTGTGTGTTTTTAAGACTCAGTGGGAGGGTCCTTGATCTTAGCTGTCACTCTGCATCCGTTTGTGTATCATCAGTATTATGTGATGCTTTGAATATTTCTTTTTTTTCTTTTTGTATTCAATAGAGGAATATTCCTGGACCCATAATAAACCTTTTTTTATTCTGAAAGCTCTTTAAATGCATCACTTGGTCGCCTTTGATTTCTTGCAAACAGTTGCAATTCAGCAAATATTTGATTTCTCTGCTGGTTAACGTGTGATGTGTGTTTGGGGGAACGAATTGCTCCTTTTCTTAATGTTGGAAATAGATACATGCTTGTTTCTAATCTCCCTGCAAGTTAAGATACAGGTAGTCCTCAACCTACAACCGTAATTGAACCTGCAATTTTGGTCATAATCCCTGACAGTTGCAAAGAGAATCATCACATGACTATACCTGACTTTATGATCTGTTTTTGCAGCAGTGAAAGATGTCACAAAGGCGGACACTGTGGTTGTTAAACAAGTCCATTGTTTGGTGTGGGGTAATTTTTGCCAGAAGCAGGAAACTTTTTTGCTTAAGGAAGATCTTAAGATTTTACTTTGCCATTCTTTGCTTACTGACTGAGCTGCCGGTCCCAATTAAGGGCACTAAGCGAGGACTACCTGAATATATATTTTTGGACACATACCCTGAATTGCTGAAATTAATTTGGAAATCTCCAAGGTTTTTTTTTTAAAAAAATACATTTTTGTGGGTGTGGGAAGGATTTCCCGTTGAAACTGCAAAAGCAGTTTGCAGAACGTCCTTCTAGCTTTTTCTGATGTTCAGCTAATACTGTTTTTTTTCCGGGTAAAGGCTGCCCTCTGGCGGAATTTTTAGGAGAATGCTGGTGTCAAGAGATTTCTTGTTTTCAACTATGGGATGCAACGTTTGGCAATAATCTTCTACAGACCCCCAGATGGCCTTTCATTTCCCCTTTTTATAGGGGAACCAATCTGATTGGCAGTTTGTGAAGCAGTTTTAAACCGCTAATGCTTGCATTCCAAAACCTCCACTTTTACATCACAGTGTCTTTTTTTTTTTTTGCTGCATTTAAAAAAACAACAACATTCACTTGAATGCATTGCAGAAAACTTTACGCCGAATAATATATCCGAGGGGCAAAAACATAGAAAAAAAAATACGACCTGGAGAAAATGGATTGCGTAAAGGATACAATTTTGGGGGAAAAGAGTAGAGAGAAGGATCAGGAGATAATTGCATCTGGGCCACCCAAGTGGCTCTTGCAGAAATGTACGCATACAGCGTGCTTAATGGCCTTTTAAGAGAATTACACGCCTAGAAACGTCTACAGGGAAACAGTCAGAATGGACCTTGTGCTGTACTAAGCTGATTTTATTACTTTTGGATGAAGCGTGCTCACACCCGCCCTAGCATCCGGGCTATCCACCAGTTGCAAGGCATGATGGTACGGCAAATCACCCGCCCTCCCTGATAGCAGTAGGGGTACGGGTAGTACCCAAGTAGCGGCTCGCATATTCTGCGACAGTAGCGGTGGGCTCGACGGCAACGGGCGCAGCAGTATCCTCTCTCATCCCAAAGAGGATGGAACTCGAGACCGTGCTCGGTCTAGGGAGGAAGGAACAATGAGCGAGTTAGAAACAATTGTCTCATCATGTTGACCAGTGCAAGCTAGAAGTTGACTTGCCTAAGGAAAAGTTAGAAGTGGGATCCCAATGAGTTCCTATGGCAGGGGTCACCAACTTGGCAACTTTAATAAGACTGTGGACTTCCAAGTCCCAGAATTCCTCAACCAGCCCTGGGTTTCCACTTGGGAATCCATGGGCACATCCCATAGGGCAAGATCTCCAACCTTAGCAACTTTAAGACTTGTGGACATCAACTCCCAGAATTCCCCAACCAGCCATGGGTTTCCACTTGGTGGGAATCCATGGGCACATCCCATAG